GTTTCTCAGGAACAAGTCCCTACTGAACTTAGTCACGTTTACCCCACGGAAGCGCGCAAAGGATCCGAGAAGGGTTTCCACAAGTGCTTCTCTCTCCTATTGAGACGTCTCGCCATGCTTACTCGGAAGTAAGTACCATTAGTTCACACAGAATTTACCCCCAAGTGAGTGGGGATAGCTCTGCAGCCTTAGAAAGGGCTTGACTTTGGCCGGATCTTGTCCATGGCTAGTTTGCTCTCGGAAGCAACAGAAGCCGCAAACATCTCTGATTGGTGCGATGAAAGGAACTAATCTGTTTGGGAAAACAATCTTCATAAAAGACACCCCTTAAACATATCTCTCCCCAAACCATGGAATCGGCCTCATTATATAGAAATATAAGTGTGAGATTTGAGACACTTATTTCTTTCGAATGCAGATTTTCATTTATATTTAAATAATCAAAAAGAGTTCTCTGTTCTGTTTCTTTTTTAAAATGACGGGGAAGGTCGTGGGGCGGAAGCTAATAAACGGGTTTATAGGCAGTGGGACTTGCAACCTTGCTTGCAGCATAATCCTATTCCTGGTTACTCAGAAGTAAATACGAATTGCGTTCATCATGGGGGCTTATTCCTGGACATGGGAAATCATATTGGGGTTTGTTTGTTTTTTCGTGTGCGGCCCAACAGCCCAGTTGCCTGCCTCTGAACTTGAAACAAGAACGTGGCCCTCAATGAGACTTACATCCCCCAAGTTGCGCCTAAAGAGTCCAGTCCGTAAAACCCAACCGGGTTTTCTACGTCTAATTTTCTCCGGAGGAAAGCAAAAAGAGGGGATGTTAAGGCAACAGTTGTTATGTTTAAAAGACATCATTTTTAAAAGTACCCCCTTCCCCCAGAAGTGAGCCTTGAAATGATCCAAGCCACTTAGGACGGGTCATGTGCGCTTCATGCGTGTGTGTATTATGAATTCGTATTGCCCCTTCCATATCCGGCAGGCTACTAGCGAGTTAGCAAATAACACCGAGGTTTTCAAACGCGCGTCTCTGAGAAACAAACAAAGCCTTATGACAATCTGAAAAGTCCACCTCCTTCAGAAACTTCACTCCCCAGAAAAGGAGCAGCAGCAAACACTACTAACAAAATTGTTTTTCACACCACTTGCCCCTGCCGGAAAAGGAGGGGGCTTACAAGCCACCCCGAAAAAGAAAGCTGGCAACCACCGACGGCCCCGATCCCTATTCCGCTCAGGAAGTGGAAAGGAGAAGGAGATATCCTGCCAGAACCAATTTCATCTTCGCTTTCCTCCTGTGTGATATAATAGCTCCTATATCCTGTTGTTACTCGAAAATGAAAACACACAGAGATTGCCATGAATGAAGCTTGAGCTTAAACAACCGATTCCCTTTCCGTGAAATTTCTCTGTTCTGGTTCCCTTCTCCTGCATTATGACTTCGAGACTGTGAACCTCTCGGAGCCAGAGGACTTGGCTGCTTGGAAGAACGCAGGCGTTCATTGCAATCCTAAGCACTGCCTACTCAAAACTCACACCTCCCTTGACTTACTCCCAGGTAAGCGGGTATACAGCATTGAAGCCTTTGCGCACTAGAAAAAAACAACCCCTATACTGGAAGTCGCCATGTAAAACTCGCCGTATAAAACACAATCATTAACAATAAAGAAGTTGCGGGTTCCCCCCCCCAAACTCTTTAAGAAACCGAGTACCGGAATCTGAATGCACGATTGTGAGTGTGCCTGTTTTTTAACTATGCGTTGAGTAACGAAGCGATCCTAAGCACCTCCACCTCAATTATGCCCTACCATGCCAGCAGGAAGATGGAGAGGTTGCGGCTTAACAGCCTGCAGGACGCCAGTGCCGGGCCAAGCCCATCAATAGAGGGTCGTCCCCCCATATCAATCTTCCAAAAGATCGCTGATCCTTTAATTGGGGGTGTGGGGCGTGTTTATTTTAAACACTTCCCATTAATACAGTTCTACATCGGGGCGGAGGCCAGAACTGCGTTTTTTTTAAACACAAGCGTGAATCGGGTTCACTTCCAGGGTTGGGGAAGTGAAAATCACAAGCGTCTCTGGCGCAGCCCGATCCTGTAGCCACGAGGATCGCTGGAAAAGAGACGTTCCGCTTGGATCGGAGCAGGCTTCCAGGCAAATGGGCGTAGCTTCGGAAACTCTCCAAGTTCAGGAGGTTTCTCTGTTTTAAAAGGCCTGTGGATCGCACCTTTGTTCTGATAATACGGCTATTAGTCTCTCCCCCTCACTTCCCCCTTTCACCAGCGCTTAGCGTCCCCCCTCCTTTCCAAAGCCGAAAACGGAAGTCGAAAGAAAAACAACAAACACGGATCGCCCCAAAGCCCCCTCGAGCCAGTACCCCCCTGCAACATTTCTCAAATGCTCTTGACAGCAAACCCTGATGAATAACAGTCATCCTTCACTTGCTAAGCAAAATGCAGCCCTCCTTATCTTCCTCCTTCTCCCACAAGTAAAAACAAAACAGAGATCGCTCAATCAATCATAAAGAGACGACGTTGGTATACAGCATTACTTAAGGGAAACTCTGCACGTGTGAATGTGCGTTTGTGAGAGAGGGGGAGCACTGTATGTTGCTGTTAATTTGGGGCGGAGCAAGGCGACACGGGTCCTCCATGTTCCCACCCACCCCTTGGTGGGAAAGGAGACATTCACATATTAGAGAGGCAGGAATCCCAGGCTTGGTATCCCGTGTACGCAAACACGTGTTCACCACGTTTGGGACAGCTTGGCCCTGAAATGCGCCGTACAGATATTGGAAGGATGGAAGGATGGGAATTAACTGCAGTTCTAAACCCCCATTACCCGGGAGTAAGGCCCACTGAATTCGCTGGGACTTTCTGCTTGAGTAGACATTCCTAATGTTGCACTTGACTCGCTAGAACTACGCTTTCCGGAGCAACCCAAAGTTTTGAAGCCGATTGAACGTGCCACTGGAAAAAGCTTCAGGAGATTTACTCGAAAGAAAGTAGTTCGGGGTGGTAAGAAAATGTTTCCAGCTTGCCCCAGAGCCCTGGGGTTCCTACGGGAGGTTGGAGAGGAGAAGAAAGGTGTATTTATTGGATTATTGTCGCCGCAAAGCCTCAGAAAATGACATTTATAATACGTGTGACACGAGTGCCCATCTCCTCCTTGCACCTGCTCGCCGTGTAATATTTTCCTTCAAGTATTTAGCGGCTAGCTTGTAAATGCGTCCGGTATTTTTAATATATAATAATATTTCTCTCTGTTTTTTATATATTTATTATATATACGTATATATCTTAAAAGGGGCACCTTGATCAGTTACCTTCCTTATTTTATTGTTTCTCTATACCAAACTGTTTATTTAGCGAAATAGTCCTGAAGAGAGAATCATTCTACATACTGCGCTTTTATTTCACATACTTAAGGAAAGGGGGTGGAAATAAAATTGCCAAAATGTGAGGGGGGGAGGGGAAGCCCCACATAGATGTGGACATGAAATTTCAAAGACCACGCTAAAGAAAATGAGACATAAACACACACCCCCGGGGAAAAAAACCTATTTCCCCACTTCGTTCTTTTTGTGGGATCTATCCAATGCACATTCTCCTGCGCAAGAAATGTCTTCCTCTACTTATTCATCCATCTATCCATTCATAGATGACTTGTAAAGAAAAACTGCCCACAGCGTGGATCATCCCCCGCAAAAAACCAAAACTTTAAGCAAAATAAAAGCAACACACACCCATACACCCACACCCCCCAAAAAAAACACACGACAGCAACAGCAAAACAAATCAGGACATGGAAAAAGTGGCAAGTCTTTGGATAATAAATAATAAATTACTTTTATAATTTTTGCAATGCGAGAGCAAACAAACAAACAAAAGTATTTCCTCCCCCCCCCTCTTTATTTCCAGAGAAAGAGAAAGAGTGAGAGAGAAAGGGGTGGGGGCAAAAAACCCCAGTCCATTAAAAAAAAAAAAGCACACATTTTTTTAAAAAAAACATAAAAAACCCAAGAACTATACACATCTTTGGGGAAAGGGGAATGTTACTGAACGGACGCCAGTCAAAAACAGAACCCCGAAAGACGATTCTGTTTTTTTCCTTTTCATTTTTCATTTGTGGCCAAAAAGAGGTATACCTTGTTGCGAATGAAGGTTTAAATTGGGATAGATAGATTATTATATTTATATTTATATTTATATATTTTTAAAAACCGACTCCCTCCTTTAAATTAAAAACGAAAACGAAACAAAAAGAGTCAATGGAGAGTGGAGACTTCAGAAGAAAAAGGATGGATCTCGACAAGAAACCCACCGACCCACCCGGGAAAAGGAAAAAGAAAGGGGAGGGGGAGGAGGCCAAAGCTACAGTACATGCTATTGGAGGGACGACCCAGGCGCTCCAAGACCTTTCTTGGGGGAAAAGGAAACAGAGAAATTCCAAACCGCTCGCAGCTCCAACCATCTGAATAGCTCGTTCTGTCGTGGGATGGTTGGGAGGGTGTCCTTCCTTGATCTTGCGATAAGCAATCTATCAGAGCTCCTTTCAAAGATATATATGTGTATGTATATATATATATATAATTTTAAATGTTGGTTTTGTTTGTTTTTTTTGGCAAGGGGCGAGGCAGGTCTAGGAAGAACACCATTCGAGTTGGGACGGTCACCCGAGGCTTTTTCTGGGCGATGTTTGTGTGCAGTCACTCAACGATGCCATTTGGGAAAAGTTGGCGGTCCTGGGTCCGTATCCTCTTGCGTTTCACAAACGTCTTTAAAACAAAAAACAAAAAAAAACCAAAATCCTTCTTGATCTCCCTACGATCCTTCTGTGGGGGTGGACTGTTATTATCATTATTATTTTAAAAAAAGAACGAAAGCATTTTCATTTGCTTTGTAAGAGTATTATTCTAGTAAGATCCCAATGATTGTCTTCACAGTGTTGCTACCTTATCATTGCAAAACGAAACAAAAACGAACGAACAAAGACTCCCCAGACAGTTCATGGAGTTTTTCTTTTCTTTAGGTTCATGAACACGGTTGTGTTTAAATACTTTTCTTCTTCTTTTAATTTTCTAATTTCTCTTTCTCCTTCTCTCCAAGTCCCCAAACGTGATAGCTTTCCCACTCTCTCCAGCAGGGGGCGAAAACATTTGAGGACCTCAGCACCGCAAGGAATGTTCCTCATGCCTCAATTGGACTGGCTACCATGCTGTTAGGTGTATCCGGGAGTTGAGAGGACATGGATGCTACCTCACTTCCGGTGGAATTGGAACCTGGGCCTCCTTCTGAAAAATTAACCTGCAAAACATTTTTTTAAGAGAGAGAATAAACGGTTTACAAAAAGAAAAGAAAATGCCCATTTCTCTGGCTTTCAAAATATCATTGCATTTCTTGTAAACTGCTCAGGGCAGAGACCTTATGGTGTACATTGTGACAGCATTATATACATAAATACTGTCACTAACAACAGTAACTCAAATAGTAACATTATTTTATGTTCTACCGATTTTTATAGCAGCCTGCCATTTCTACTTTTTGCAACCACAGTGCGGGAACAGTGAAATAAGACATATTTGCAAGAATTCACGTCAGGATCGACTCTGGTATCACCCTGATAGTTCATCATTGCCTCGGAGTAGATTTGCGAACATTAAAAATGGAATATTTATCATTTGGGACACTTAGACAATTAGTTCTGAAATTAAAAAATGGATGGAAAATTTAAAGTTGAACAAATCCCACATGAATGAAAAGCAAAGAATTTACCAGTGAAATCTTGGAACAGCTTTGGGTTTTGTAAAATGTTGGGCTACTGGAGCTATTTATAATAAACACCAGCATTTTATATCAGCGAGAGAGAGAGAGAGAGTTTTAGTGTTCAGTGTACTTTGCCTACAGCAATCATGTAAGGTCAGTATTAAGCTCACCCTCCAACAGAGTCTGAGGAAGAACAAAGAACTGAATAGAAGAGTCTTCACCAACCTTCTGGTGCCTTCCAGGCATTGTTGGACTCCAACTCCCATCAGCCCCAGACAGAAAAGTGAACAGTCAGAGGTGATGCCCAACAACAGCTGCAGAGTACCAGGTTAGGACGCATGCAGCACAATCCTATACATGCTTACCGAGAAGAAACCCCATTGACTCCACTCACATTTTCTCCCAACTAAATGTATACTTAATGGTCACAGCCCTAGCAGAGTTCAGATCTGAGGTTGAATTGGAAGTTGGGTTTACTTATTTATCTTTTTGATTCTAGCTACCACTTTTTATCACTATACTACAGAAAACTATTTTACATTATATTAGAGCTCATAATATTCATATGTTTGGAGCACTGAGCAAGCAATCCGATTTGGGGTGAAAAGATCACAGAATTATCATCATTGCTTGCAGTGGCGAAATTTGTATTTTGGTATGTGGATACTTAAATGGAGGGCCTCTGTTTTCCCCATCCCCAAGAATTTGCAGTGTACAGTTGTATCAGTTCTGTCTGAAATGTTTGATGCTCAACTTAAATAGATGTTTTCTGGGGCACAAACCCAAGAAACAATTCTGCATAAAATTTCCATATGCTAGTATATACGGATAAGTGCAAATTGAGACTAAATTTTAGAGGGAAAGCTGCTAAGCAAAGTGGTATCTAAAATATTATATTTCTGTTCAGAACGGAGAAAGCGTCAACAGTTCCTGGTGCAGAAGATTTGTTGACTTAGGTCACCTCAGTCATCCCTTAACAATGAGTCAACAGGTGAGTATTATGATGGCTCAGCTCAGAAGGGAGCCCACACATTAGGCCCAAATGCATGTTCTTATCTGCTCTTTCTCTAGGTAAGAGCTGATCAGAGCTCTGGGAGGTTTTTACTCTCTAGTGCTGATTAGATCTTGGAACCATTAAGCAACAGGTCTTCTGCAATTCACAGTTCTCTGGATCAGGGTCAATGAAGACTATTCTAAGGCTGCAATCCTATACATACTTACCTATGAGTAAGTCCCTTTTGACATGAATAGGGCTGATTAAACACAACTAGGTTAGCACTGCTTGGGTATTTTCAGAAGAAAATATGGTAAACTAGAAGGCAGCTTTAAACAATTCTAGTGAAATCAATGTGTACCTTTTCTAAATACGGTAGCTCTTCCTGAGCCCAGTGAAGTAGAGGCAGAATAGAAACATAACATATACATAAAGCAATTGTGGACCTACATATATAAGTGTAGTGTGTGTGTTTTCCTATGTGCACCCAGTATACAACCTTTGCGAAGGGAAGCTGCAGCAAATAAATGCAAAGCAAACAATATTAATAATTACACAAAGGATAAGGCTGCAATCCTACCTGCTGGTAAGCATCACTGTACATAGCAGAATTTACTTCTGAGTAAACATACCTAACATTGTGGTGTAAGAAGCTTGAGTTGTAAACAAGAAAATCCCAATTCAAATAAGGCCTTGGTCACAAAATTCTCTTAAGGGCAGTGGGGGGGGGGGGATAAGCCAATATTTCTCTGCCTGAGTCCCTCAAAAATAATACAGTGGTACCTCGCAAGACAAATGCCTCACAAGACAAAAAACTCGCTAGACGAAAGGGTTTTTTGTTTTTTGAGCTGCTTTGCAAGACGATTTTCCCTATGGGCTTGCTTCGCAAGACGGAAACGTCTTGCAAGTTTGTTTCCTTTTTCTTAACACCGTTAATACAGTTGCGACTTGACTTCGAGGAGCAACTCATAGAACACGGTGTGGTAGCCTTTTTTGAGATTTTTAAAGACTTTGGTGATTTTTGAAGCTTTTCCAAAACTTTCCCGACACTGTGCTTCGCAAGACGAAAAAAATCGCAAGACGACAAAACTTGCGGAATGAATTAATTTCGTCTTGCGAGGCACCACTGTACATACTGATCTACCTCAGAGAGTTGTTATAAGGATTTCAGATAAATGTTTTGGTCACACTTATATAAATGCTATTACAAGCATCACATGATTTCCTCCCACCCAAGAAAAGTTACTTTGTGAATGAAAATTGTAGCACATGAAGCTACCCTCCAAGCAGCCAATGATGAAATGTTCTGCAGTTGGGTACAAGTTCCCAGCTGCAAAACACCACTTCTGAAGGACTCAGATTTTAAATAAATAAATAAATAAATAAATAAATAAATAAATAAATAAATAAATAAATAAATAAATAATATCCCACCCATCTGACTGGGTTGCCGCAGCCAAACAAAATAGTAAAAATCCTCAGATACAACTAGGAAAAGTCTGGACACTTTGTTCTATGATTTTAAAGAGGCATGCATATTGGAAATGCCATTAAAATCAATGGACTGGAGCCTCACTTTTTGCCCCATGGTCTTCCATGCCCAGAACTGTCTTTCCATGAAGAAGAAGCCCCTTCCCTTCATAAAGCAAAAAGTAAGGATCCCAGTCAATGTAAATTCTTCCAGTTCAATGCCCTGATCCAAACTGAAATTGGATTTCCTTGATGCCTGCAGAATTTAGTGCTAAGTAATACAGGAACAAAAGGAAAGTGCCTTATAATTAGTCAAACCATTGGTCCATCAAGTTCAGTGCTGTCCACATTGAACCTCTGAAGAACCGCTGTCAATCAGACATAGGACATTCCTAGCCCTATCTGGAGGTGCCAGGAACCTTCTGCAAAGCAGATGTTCCACCACTGAACTACGGCCCTAAATGCTTGAGCACTACAGATAATTGTAGGGATTGCAATCCCTATTTTCCAAGGAATAAGCCCCATTAGATTCTATAGGGCTAACTTCCAAGAAAATGTGCATACTAGTTTAAATATAAGTAACCCTCATCTGTGGATTGGGTCCCAGTTAGGTTCCTAATGATAAAACTGCTATCTTCTTTTGGTTAAGATTTTCCACATTGGCTGGAGTCCAAACCCATTAAATTCAATATGAGTTCTTCCACATATTTTCATCCTAGATGCTGGCTAATTCTTCCCAGTGTGTTACGGATTATTTAAGGTGTGTTGCAGTGGATTTCTACTTTGCACCCCAGTGGTAAACATGTGGTTTAGAAGTAAATCTTATTGAACTCAACAGAATTTATTTCTGTACAGTGTTCAGACTCAAGAGTCCTCTGTTTGTGTGTGCTCCACTAATCACACAGAGCTCCTGTGAGAATGGGCTTCCCTATACACTGAAGTGAATGAGGAGGCTCTTTGCACATGGATAGACGTCCTCTCTGCTCAACGAAACTGGAATATTATTATGGATGGAACTAATCCTTTGCCTGTGAGTAATCACTGAATCTGAGAAAAAGAATGAACAAGAAGCATGGCTTTCAATGGGGTTCTATGTACAAGTATTTCTTTTCTCCCATATTCACCTCTGGTTTAAACACTACAAAAGCCTGCTTATGAGAATTACAGTTTCAAATTGCTTTCTATTCTCTTAAAAACAGACTGCAATCTACCTCCTATCAAACTTCAGCAAGTCAACACCCCGCAGTGGGAATTAAGAAGAACTGATGGCTTCTATCGGGTGTGAGGATCAGGGCCAGCCTAATACATTTTCATCTTCCAAGCAGCTGCACCATGCAATCCAAAAGGAATGTCCCACAATCCCTTGCAACACTGCAGCTGCTCACATTCTGAGAGTCATGTCCCAGAATCCTCTGCAGCACTGTAAAGGATTCTGGGTGTGGGGGGGGTCACCTCTCTGATCACAGACCGTTTGCTTAGCACCCCTAATAATGTTGCTACTCCAAGCAATTGCTTGTGTAGCCCAGTTAGGTGTGTCTGTCTGTAAAGCTCAATATTGGTAATAATAAGATTTTAGACTCTGTATTGAGGCCCTGCATGGGGACATAAAATGCCTCCAGACTTCATTTCAGTTCCTTTAGCAGATGCCTGATAAAAATCATTCCAAATGCAATTTTCTCTCCACCCTACGCTTTTACCCATCTTTGTCATACTGACGTAATTTTTTTTCACACCGTATCATGTCCTAGAATCTTCCATTGTATCTCCCTAGACTCATTTCCTCCCACAAAGTCTACCCATCTCCTCTATTGTTAAAAGCTGCACTGAATGGTTTAAAGCAGGATAATTCTGCCTGAGTACCAGGCAACACCCAGAACAAAGCAGGAAAAGAAAACAGCCCCTAAATCAGAATTAAGTCGCCCATCCAAGGTGGCATGGTCACAGCACACTGATCACTATTGGATTTAATCTATTTTTACCACCATTTGTATTTTCTCTTTCAAGAACAAGAAAGTCTGGAGATCTCTAAAGGCATTTACTCAGAAGTAAACTTTCCTAATTTCAGTGATACTTAGGCTGCAATCTTACCAAATGAGTTATGGCATAAATTGTGACACAAGGATTCTTAGTGGAATTGTTTTGGCCATTGTTCTAGAAGAGTTAAAGCTGTCGTTTTTTAAAAAAAAGAAGAAGGACTTTGCAACATATATTTTCCAAAACAAATATTTAAACTGTTATATTTTTGGGAGACACTTTGTGCACCCAATCATTAGATGTTCTATTATCGGTACTACGAAGTTTAATCACTGAAAAACCATTCATAACATACCTTATTATTTTTAAGATCTGGTTTTAACACACTTAGGCCAGGAAATTGAGTTAAGGTTGAACTTCTGTCCTTAAATCACCTGGTTGGGCTTAAGTATTGCAGATGATATGGTCCCATATGAGCTGCCAAATGATGTAGGCATAAGGAAGTGAGTTAAGAACAGAATTGATTGGTAAATTCCTGTTGGCTTTTTGGTGAAAGCCAGCCCATTAATACTATGCAACTGTTGCATGTTATTATATAACCACATTTTTTTAAATCATGAAAACAAGACAAAAGCATCTATCGATCCATGGAAGTTCAGAAATATATGCTAGCCATGGCATGTAAAAAGAAAAAGAAAATGCAGACAATCGGGCTAAAATATACATTTGCACAAACTGTGCTAAAGGCTAATATTACAATATGCAAAAGTAATTTATGTAAATAGGAAATGTGCATTTCACAGGAAAAAGCAGGGGTCTAACCTTTGTAATATTTTATAGAAGAGTACATATTTAGAAAGGCGTGTTCATTGTAAACACTGCTACCCTCCAGACAATACTTCAAATAACTTTTTAGATTTATTAGACTCTCACCACCATATTTCAGCCCCACTGTACAACCCAGTAGAAGCAACACACCCACTACCAGGATCCTATTCACTCAGTTTAGTCTAATTGTTAGGATGATGATAATAATAATAATAATAATAATAATAATAATAATAATAATAATAATTTGGTGACAACTTGCAGGTGCTGGTTTAAATGCCAATAAACTTAAGCATTTTAAGGATCTTAGGCATAAGCTTGGCATTTGACATTGTGGTTAAATGGCTGAATTTGGTTATGGGAAACCTAGGCCATAAAGGAAGCCTAGCTGGTCATAAAGGTCAAAAGTGGGAGAGAGGGAAAGGCTTCCCTGTGCCTTCTCACTCTAACGCAGACTAAAAATTAGATGAATATTGGAAAGCACTTTGTGTATTGTGGAAAAGAGGTTGCAAACCACCACACAGCTAGACTGCTTAAATGCCACTGGCATCAGTGGAATACAAGTCTCCTAACTGTGAGTAGGATGGCAGCTAAGGTTTATAAAGCCCTAGTAATTAAAATTACTAGGAGCCTTTAGGACAAATTTATCCTATGATTTCTTACTAAACAACAACATAAATCCTGCAAATATGGCTGTGAATAAAGTACTGCTTTTCTGAAGGGGCGGAAAGCATACTTCCATTTTTATTTTTTAGATAATGTGTGCTTCTGTCACAGGATAGGCCATCTTAAAATAGGCATTTCATCCATTGTTCATGCGTGACAGAAGGGAGGAAGCCTCTTTGCAGGGATGCCTGCAACCTGCTTTGAAATGAGTTAATGCTAAGGGGACAATTTCCCTCCCAAATAATTGGGTATACCTCACTTGCAGTATCAAAAACTGCTTTTACCTTGATTTTTTTTTTATTGTCCAATATAGCTACTGCTGCTAATACCACTGCTACTGATAATAGCCAGCCAGATCATCAATATGTATGCTTCTTAGCAAATGTCCACAGAGCAAGCAGCTCTGCGCTTAAAGATAACTGTGAGGCTAGCATGCAAATGGGCAGCTGAGGTAACCCTAGGCAATCGCCATGTGTGGCTCCCTCCTGACTCCTTCCAGCACATGGACTGGGCTTCATGGACAGCACAAGGGGCTTCAGATAGGGGTAATCTAAGGGCACTGCTATCTCATACAAACCCTCAAGCTGCAACCCGAACCCCACTTACTGGGGGGATTTAACTCCCGAGTAGACGTGGTTTTAGGGTTTGCAGCCTAAAAGCATCGAAGTGGAAGGATCTCTGGTGGGGACGTGAGTTGACCTCCAAGTGTTTTAAACTCTGGGGCTGGGAGGGAAAGGGGGGGCGCGGGGGTTACAAAAACTTTGCAGGAATAATCTAGAGGAGCGTCGCGCTTGCCTTTGCGCGCACAGTGGCCCATTCATCGCAGCCGGGAACTGACACTTACGAGTTGCTGAAAAGCCGGTTGATCTATGTCACTCTGCAAGGCGAAGTCGCTGAGGACTTTCCAGGGCGGCTGGTAACTCTGCACCTCCACCGGGTTCGCCTGCAAGCCCCCGTCGTGTCTCTCCGGGCTGGCCGCCACCATGGGAGTGCCCGTCATCCCTTGGATGTTCTGTAAACAAGGCAGGCAGAGGCGGTGAGGGGCCGCGCCGCACAAACCGCGATTGTCTCGCGGCGCAGAGAGTCAATAAACTCCTTCTCGGGCTTATCAAACGCTCGACTCTATTGACTTTGTTAATCTGCCCTTCGCGGAATTTCGTGTGTTATTATTCTTAAAAACAAAACAAAAAAACACACCACCCACACCTCTCTTTGCCGAGTCGATTAGGCAAAGTAGATTAGGATCCGTTTCCAGTCCTGATCAAGGTTTTCTTTTTAATACATATATATAAATATGTACCTCCCGCACGCAGTGGAAACATGTCTATTTCCAAGTAGGAAAGGGGCATACTAGGACTCCATGTTAGGTTGCTTCTCTCTCAGGCAGTAAATCCCAGTGATCTTAGTGGGGTTTATTTTTGAGTCGAGACGTTTTGGATTGTCCTGGTTATCTTGAAGGTTTCCAATGAGGAAGAGGCGGGTAGCTCCATGGGAACGCCACAGAGGAGGACAGGAGCCGAACAACCCCGGACAAATAGGACGCTCCCCCAACTGCTAATTACATTACTGGTACCCCACCTCCAACGACTTCTTCCACGTCTATTTATTGATCCCTCCTAATGCCGCCACACTGAATAACACACTTCTTCCCCCCGATTGCTTAAGCGTTGGAATTCACGTCCAGAGCGCAAAAGCTGGAGATCCGAGCACGAGATAGGAGCCCTAGACTAGAGCATGGGACAACTCTGGAGCCAGCAGCTTGATGGTCTTCAGGATCACAGTGTGGGTGGGAATACATACACACCACTCATATTTACCCAGGGGTAAGTCTCGCTGACTGAAAGGGGAGTTACTTACACACACGCCTGCGTCGAAGCCTGCCTTAACGCGTGAGAAAATGCCACCGAGGGTTACTCAGGTACCTTTGAGCGCCATGGAGCTTACTCCCAGGTAAGTGGGGTTAGGACTGAACCCTTTTCTGTGAATAGTTAGTAGTGGTATTTTCCTCGTGGTTAAGGGAAGTAACTCCTGGAGGTTGACAAAAGTCAAGCCGAGTTGCTCTACAACGCCGCAGATTTCAACCCGACCTCATTTCGGAGTAAGCCCCATGATCCGGAGTTGGCATTTTCTTTCAAGTAAACATCATGCCTAGGCACCATTGATCCTCTATGTTTAGGTGCGACTGCAATCGTACACCGGGATGTCTAGGGCCTGGCCAGTTGAGGAGAAGAATTGGGACTGAAGCCGGTTCCGTTCCACTCCCTTCCTAAAGACGCAACCGGTTTAGGTCCCAGTCCAGCCATTTCACAGAACTGTAGCCTCTAGAGAAAGTTCGGGAGATTCGCCTCACTTTTCGCCCCGGCATCGACAAGGCATTGAAATGGTCTTCCAGTGAGATTGAACTTTCCAGGAAAACGTGGTCCGGAACAAGGACCATTTCCAAGGATCCCTGCTTATTTAGGTTTGACTGAGCTCACCCTTTCTTGGCTAACCACCACTATACTTTGTGGCAACGAATCGGGTGGGGAGAAATAAACTCTGCAGGTATTTTAAAGGCTTTGTGTCCAAAATAACTTCCTAAGTCGGAGCAACTTAAAACACTTCAAACTGGGGTTTATTACATTCCACCGCGGTAATACGCAACGCTTTAAACTTCCACTTAACCAGATAAGCAGTCTTAACAAACATTAATAGCTGTTCCTTTAAGCAACACAACAATGGCCTCGGCATCATCAAGGCCTAAAAGGCAATGGATGGGGCGAGAGCGGTTGTTTTCGAATATTTGCTCCCTCGTCATTCTCATCTGCCGAAACTCTGTTGTGTCGATCTCTGTTGTGTCGACCTAAAGTCCGATCTCATTGGATTTTAAAAACCAGACCTTAAGTCTGTTTACTCGCAAGTAATTCTCATTCCGCCCAGCTAGACTTCATCCTAGATCCACTTACCTAGGAGTAAGCCCTACTGAATGCCGTAAGACTTGCTTCCGAGTAGACATGTATTGGGCAGTGTTGTGAGCATGCATAGGATTGGAGCCTTAGGTGAGTATCTGGCTGACATCCGGTAGTTGGGAAGGACACATAACTGCCTAGGCAAGTAGCACCAGAATTTTCTTTCTTTCTTACGAGTAAACCATGTATAGGATTGGTCTGCCCGACTTTCAGGTCTAGAACCAAAAAGTGTGGCAACAGAATAGGTCAATCCTACACACAGTTACCCGGAGTATGGCTGTAATATTAACCTTAATATTAATATTAAGAGTAAGCCACACTGAATTCAACAGGGATTCCTTCTAAGCAGTTATAGTTAGGATTACGTTGTAAGCCTCAGGGGATTCCAGTTGGACCTACTCCCGAGCAAGCTTTAATTCCATCGAGTGCACCACTATGGCGTTTTGACATGCACACACTTACTAGGTAATAACTGAACGTAGGAGGGATTTACTTTCGAGTAAATATCCGTAGGAGTCCACTGCGAAGTTCTATTGAATTCAATAGGGCTTCATCGCATTCTCTTTGAAATCTGCTTGCCAGAACTCGACAATAACTAGGTAGGACTGGCATCGGTTCATCTATAGAAGCCCACTCTATTGATTTCAGTACATCTATTCGAATCATCTTACAACCGGCAAGTCAGTTGAGAGCCTTTTTAAAAATCCAGTCCCTCCTGCGACCTTTACCCACCCCACCCTCCACGTTGCTGTTATGTATCTTAGACCACAAGAATGTAGGAATTACCCACAGACTGATATCTGTCTCTGGAACAGTCCCAGCATCTTCAGTAGAACTACTCTAGAGTAAGGCAGTTTGTAAAGTCACTGTAACATGTACTTAAAAAAATTAAAACCGGGGGTGCTGTGGAATATCGGGATGTTGTGGGATTTCCCCCTACAATTGGACCATTTATTTGGCAACAAAAAGTAAATAAATGCGCACAATCAAGAGTTCACGGACCAGTTCCCTAAACCCAGCAAGCTATTGAAGCCCCGCCCCAATAAAACCCAGACCCCATTCTAGAAGCGTGCTACTTCCACAGGCCAGCATTCAACAGGTGAAGCGTCCCCTTATCTCTCTGTTCGATTGCTGTGAAAGGCACAGAAGGATGGGGACCTTCTCTTTTTCTGCTGGCTACAGGGAGCCCCACTAATTGGCGTTCTTGACAGACACACTCATTGGACAGTAATACACACATGCGCACGAACCTATCACACCCCCCCCAGCAAATCAAAAGCACCAAGGCAAGTGGACAGCCAAGCCACGCCCACTAGCCAAGAAAGTTTTTCCTTCGGGAACTGGCGCCCCCTAGAGGCCAGGAAGAAAGACCGCGGCAGCCACTCACCGTCTTGTCGTTGGGCTGCTGCTGCTGGAGCTGCTTCATCATAATGCTCCTCTTTTTGTCCTTGCAGCGCTTGTTTTGAAACCAGACCCGGATGACCCTGGGGCTGAGGCCCGTCATTTCCACCAGCTGCTCCTTCATGAGGGCGTCGGGCCTGGGGTTGGCGGCGTAGCAGGTCCGCAAGGTGTGGAGCTGCTTCTCGTTGAGGACGGTCCGGACGCGGGTGGTCTTCTCCGGCTGCTTATGGACGTGTGGCCTCAGAGCCGGTTGCCTGGCAGAGATAGGTTCTGCTGTGGGGGGTGGGTGGGGGGAGGAAAATGAGGAAGGAACAGGAATCCCGTAAGTGGCGGGGGAGGGCGAGAAGATGCTGACACGCAACTTCCTGGGAGGCCAACCCCGCAGGAATCATCTCTACCTGGACTCCCATCCATCCACCTTTCTTCAGGAACCAACGCTATTGCAAACAATGGGAATCGGGGACTCCTCTCTGTCAAGCCCCTCCACTTTTTGTGGATGCCCTTAATCCTCCAAATTCTCACAAGCGCCTCTCTTGTTTCCCCCATTGTCTCGATTGGAAGCTCCTCGCGGACGGGGGACTGTCAGCGGAGGAGCTGCTGTCCAAGGTACCCTATATGGCGCTCTTTAATGAGCGACGACGATTGGGACCCTCAAGCCTTCGGATCTCGGAGGTGGGGGAGCTATACTCATTCTGTTTTGCTGACTGGAGGAAATCGCCAATCGTCCAGTTTCGGTGGGACGTCTTGCCGGCCCACCTCACCGGGAACACCTGCGCAACCCCGTAGTTTCTCCCCCCGTCCACCCCGCGTTCCCCATACTGCATCCAAGGGTCTTTCCTCAGCACGCAAAGGATGGCTGAGCTCTCAAACGTGCACGGGGGAAGGAAAATCAGCTGGGGGGAAAAAAGCAGTGGCGTCGATTTTTCCACTTCAATATATTTTTGGATTGTGGAAGGAAGCAGATAAGTCATATAATCTGGGGGCGCCATTTCACAATTCTCGAGGAAGAATCACCAGGGCTTTGGAAGGAGCGCGGAGACGGCTACCACCAAGACCTCCCTCCCTCCCTGGCGCCACTCACTAGAATCTTAAAGCTCAAACGGATCAATTGGCCACCTAGTCCCTCACCTACGCTGAACCATCTGCCACTTCCGGGTTAATGGATACAACAATGCAAGCCACAGCAAACAACCCAATTGCCTCCGTCGAAAACTCTCCCCCAGGTCCTGTTTATCTATTGCTATTAGCACCTCCTGGATTCTCCTCCTGTCCCATGCACCACTACACAGGCTTTCTTTCTGCAGCTCCGGACTTTCAACGCCCCCCCCCCCAATTTAGCTGCATAAAAGCCTGCTTTTAATAGCCCGATTCTAGGCATGTTTAGGTAGAAGGAAGGAAACCTCACTATAGCCAATGGGGACTTGCTTATCCATATCTAAATGAACACAAAACTGCAGCCTAAAATGTGAAACGGTGGGGTTTTATATCGAATTTTTAAAATGAGAACTAATAAACTTGTGTATAGGAAGCAGTGACGGGGAAAGTGAGTTTCCTAAATTATATAGTTTTAAAGTGGGTGAATCTGCAAACGCTGTCAAAAGAACACACTGCTACAAAATCCAGAACAAAATAAATGTTCCAACAGTTTCTCCTTTAAAAAAATGCAACTGACACTCTTAAGGCTGCAGTGCTATGGACAGAGATTGAACATCACTGAAGACAGTCAAACTTGCTTCCAAGTAAACAGCCAAAGAGAGGGCTCTATAAAACACTCTCTCATTGGAAGGAAGGTTGCAGTGCCAAAGTCCTCCATTGGTGAATGGAGCTTACTCTCAGGTAAGTACACAGTAGATTGCAACCTGAGCTACTTCCTTTGCAGAAAAGTCCAAGTAAATGTGTTGAGAAAAATGTGCTCTAATGCAGCATTCTGAAGTTTGCTTTCTTGGAAGCAGGTGCCACTGAAATCAGTAGAACTTCCTTCTGAACATTTATACGTTGAAATAATTTCTACACCCCATCTCTTTCTTTCTTTTTTTGCCTCAATATCAGACAACAGATATAAAAAGACACAATTCAAAATACAAAAAGGCAACCATGTATCAAACAAAATACTTGAGCTAATATTTTTAGAATGAATTCTATGGGTTTGTATCTAGAAATGCAGAGTTACTGGGGAGGGCAGAGATAATCTGATGGTTTCATTGTGCTCCACATTTTTCACTTGCTTTTTTCATAATACTCCCTCCCCTTTCAAATTAGTCACTGTTTTGTATTTGGTATAGAAAGGAAGACTCTACAAGAAGTGCGATTTCAGATTTGGAGGCACACAAGACTTCAACTTGTTAAAAACCTTACTGCTCATTCTCATCTATTACTTGGAAGGAAATGTTTTTGAAAACTAGTTAAGACTATGGCAGAAGGGAGGGAGAGAACAGCAGAAAGACTTAAAAGTTACAAGCTCTTGACTGGGAATTCTCCAAGCCTGTCTTGTTTTGTTTGCCCTGATAGGGTAGAGAAACAAATAAGGCCCATTCCCAGAAGCCTAGACAGAGCAGGCAGCAAGGAAGTGGTCCTGCAACGTTTCAAGTCAAAAGTAATCCTAATGAAAAAGTAAGGCCAGCTCATGGGTCGACACTAAAGTTTTCGGCTTGAAATTCTCACCCAAACCACAGAAAGCTTCAGGAGGAGAAGGCCAAATCCCTTAGAAGGCCAATTACTGAAGATTAGCTTGTTGACAGTTTTAAATTACAGCTTGAAGTGGTGCCTGTAGTTATTAGTCTCTCTTTTTGGAAGCTGGCTCCCCCTGCACACTGCACAACCACCCCCCCACCACCCCATGTTTCATTCAGAATACGCCTTGCTGGGAAGAGCCTAAACTCATTGAATAGCATTGCCTCATCTGCATAGGGGAACCCATTGCTGCCTCTCGGCTCTCCCCTGCCCTATTTTTTTTTAAAAAATTCCTGTTTCCCACATTAATTATCCTGCTCCCCCCTTGCTTTCCATATTTTCTCAGGACATTTCTAACGGGGGAGCAGGATCATAAGCATCTTTACTTAGAATAAAGACCTAAGTGCAACAAAAGGACACAACATCTGAATCAATTGTGCCCTCTGTAAAAGTTCCTTGCAATTCAAGGTACACTGTTATCTTCTCTCTCCCCCCCCCCCCCATTTCTACTGTTGTGATCTTTGTGTACTTCTCTGTCTGCTCCTTCCTATTGCTTTGGAAAGATAGATTGCTGTGATTACCCAGCACACATACCTGACAGCGAAAGCTACGTACACAACATATACATAAATATTTCTTATTTATATTAAGCCACCAGGAGACTGAAAGTATATTACTTCTTTGGCAATTCAGTCATAGTAGAGCATAGTAGACTCTGCTTGCCCTCTGTACTGTGGCAGACTTCATATCTTTTTCAGATCAAAGGAGAGGAGGATTTATCTCCCATAAAATAACATGGTCCCATACACCAGCTGACTTCCACAGATTATAACAAAGTTCGCTCTCCAATAAGTGGGCATAGGAGGACGGCCTAACAATATAATCCCAAGCATGTTTACTTAGAAGTAAAAAACAAACAAATACCCCACACAGTTTAATGGTACTAAAGGAGCAATCCTATGCACAAGAAACTGGCATAAAGCCAGCCAGTGTGAATTAAGCTAGGATAAAATACACCAAATCCAAACTTCATTCAGGAGTGGGGCTAATGCTGGCTGAGATGGCCTAAAGCTGGCAGAGGGAAAACAATAAAGTATGGGTTAAACCACCCTTTCTGCTGGTTTAATTTACACCAGGCTGCCAGGTCATGTGACTGAGCTTGATGGGTATAGGATCCATTATAAATCCCCTTTTTCTGGTCCCACCCCCTTCTGGAATGCCCCCTTTTCCGGCCTTATACTGGCACAGCTGGGGAACCATGTATCCTAACCCCACCCATCCCAGAGGGTCCCATTATAGGATTGTTCCCTAAAGATGCAACCCTATGCACACTTCAAGTGTGTAGCATTGCAGCCTAATGGTGCCAAACGCGTCTGCTCATAAGTCAATCCTATGGAATTCAGTGGGACTTAGTTCAGGATAGTAATGCAGAGGATTGCTCTATGCATTTCAAGGAAGGGGTTTAGGGCAACAGCCTTGATCTGATTCACTCATCTGCTTTTGCTCTTGACAACACTCATGTATTGGACCTAAATACACAAGCTCCATTGATATCAATGGAAGTTCCTACTAAGATTGCATTCCTATGCATATTTACTTGGAAATCTGTTCCATTAAAATTATGGAACCCTTCTGAAAATTGGATAAATCTGAATGGATAAATCTGAGCTGCATGCCAAGGTTTAGGGATCAGGGTGCAAAGTTGTTTTACCAGTGGATGTTTGCAAGAGTAGAGTTTTGGGGGTATTTCAACGGAGGTTCTAAGCAAGTGAGTTTCACTGAAACCCTTTGGACCATGCGAGTTAATGGCTGCAATCAAGGGGAAGGTAAAGAGGTGGGAAGCTGCAATCCTAAGCGTGCCTACTAGAGAAAAAAGTAAGCAAACCCTGAGCAAACATTCTTAGGATCCTGGCAGGAAGTCTCATTGCGTTACGGGGAGTTTACTTCCGACAAGCTCGCTACCGGTTTGGGCATCACCTCCCAGCAAAGTTAAGCAAACTCCGTTCCTTTTATTTCAACGAAGGGCTCATTTCTGTTGTGAGCTGCACTTGGTGGAGATAGTCAGGAAGAGTGCAATCCTTTATACGTCTACTCAGAAGTAAGTTCTCCCCCCGAGTTCAATGGGGCTTACCCGTAGGTAAGTGGGTGTAAGATACCCCGCAAGCGGTATCCTCTTATATGTTTACTCGGGAGTAAAGTGTTCAGAGGTCTGCAGATTTTGAGCGTGTGTGTGTGGTTCTGCTTCTTAGTGTCATTTTGCCATCGGAAGCACGGGGATCTCGTGTGCCTTTTCTCCAAAACTCTCTCACCTCTGCAAAAAAACAAAACTAACCTCTGCGAAGCTGGTATCAAAATGAATACGGGGCTGGGCACATCTAGGAGGTATTATTAGCCACTGATGGCCGGGAACCGCGGGTGGGGAGGCAACGGCAGAAGAGCTTGGAGTGGGAGAGAAAACACATATATGGAACAAAGGCCCGGAGGGACCCTCCCTCCCTTGCCCTCCCCCCTCCCCTGCCCTCCTCGAAGTCTCTGGGAGGGAGGACCAGGAAGTACCTGCCATCTGCAGCGGCCTGGCGGGGTGCAAGGGGCTGAGGGGGTCCCCAGCTCCGAGGCTGGCCCTTTCCACCACGTCGTGGTCCGCCCGGCAGAAGAGACCGTCCTCCCGCAGCGCGAACTCGTCCCCGGGGATGAGCTGCCGGCTGCAGGCCACGCAGCGGAAGCACTCGATGTGGTACACTTTGGAGCGGGCGCGCATCACGAAGTCGTTCTTGCTGAAGCCGATGTTGCACTTGGCGCACTTGATGCCGTATAGCCTGAGCCCAGGCCCCGTCGAGGAAATGGGTGGTGCGGGGTGGGATTGGGGATAAAAGGGGGGGGGGATAAAATAAAAGAATACGGAGGTGGAGTGGGGAAGAAAGAGAAGAGAGAGAGAAAGATTTCACTTCGGCCGCCCCGTCGAATCAAGCCAGTCATTCTTTCATTCACGTTCCAGCCTCCCACGTAGCAAGCCCAGCTACCTCTGGTCTACCTCTGGCAAACCAGAAGCTCGCGAAAATAGAAATCGGAGCGAATTCGGTTCCTACCGACTTCCCAATCCGAGTGGCTTCTGAAATTGTACCGTGTAGGCGCTCGGACCTTGCAGCAGCGAAGGGGAAGTGTTTTAAAAAATAAATAACCGTACATGCATTTGGGTGTTGATTGGTATTATTATTATTATTATTATTATTATTATTATTATTATTATGGTGGGGCTTTTTCTGTTTGTTCTCTTTCGCGGTCTCTCTTGGAGGGGGAGGGGAGAAAATCTGCCCTATGCACAGAATGGAAGAAACGAGGATGGCAGAAACTTCACAGCAACCTTTAAAAACCAGGTTAGAAAAGGGGAAAGTCTAATTAGAACAACGGGGCCTGCAATCCCGCGAGTTCGCCCCGTGGAGTGCAACGGTGCTTACATCCGAGTAAACGCCTCCACCATTGGAGTCACTTTTTTATATATACTTCTGAGATAAATAATAATGCAACCCATCCCGGTCCTGGACTTTGGAGAAAATCCCACTGGGTCCAGAGACTCCCTTCCTTTTAAAAGAGTCTTTAAAATATTGCAGTTTTTAAAAAGACGCTTCTGTGTCTCGTCGCACCAAAAACAGAACCAAATATTCCCAAAGAGAAAATGGCAGCTTACCCTTTTATACAATGAAAAGAGGAGGAATCGTGACGCTTGGGGAAACTTATTCCGGGGGCGTCCTTTTTTATTGGGAGTTTATTGGGGGCTAAAATGCAATACTGGAACCAACCCTGCCCTCCAAAAACCGCTCACCAAAAAGGAAGGAAAAGGCTAAACTCGACTCTTAAAATATAAACAATCAAATACAAAACTCAGGAGTAAAACAGTGGAGTCAGTGAATCGCGGCCACCAATATCCTAAGCCCACTGGCAATACTCAGAGGCAAAACCCTCGGCCTGTCTTTGCTTCCGCGCCTTTACGCTCCCGGCTCTGCCTGTTTACTTGGGTGTAAGTCAAGTTCAAGGGGACGCTCTCCCAGATCGCTACTAGGCGCTGCAAAGGCTTTTCCCAGAGACGAAATTTCCCCGGGAAGGAACAGGCGCGTGGCCGCGAATAAACCCGCAGCTCTAAATGGTTTATTTGGACCGCTTGAGCAGCTGTTTTACCCGCCCCTTCTCTATCCCCCCCCCCAATAATCTTAGCTGCCAGCAACTCCTGGTGGTCTTTGAAAGAGCCCTCATGAAATCAGTGAGAAATTGCTTCAGAATAGTAAGTTTCCCAAAGTAAGACTGGGGCAGAGCGAGCCTATCTATGCACGTCTACCCAGAAGCAAGTCCAATCGAGTTCAGTGGGGCTTACTTCCGGGGAAATGTGTGCAGGATTGCAGCCTAAGGGCGACGTCCGCCTTCTGTTCCAGAATCACCAACAACAAATCAACAGAGAACTCTCAGTAGCGCTGAAAAGCTCCCGCAGACCAGGAATAGGAGGTCGCTTTTCTGTAGAATTCAGAGTTTATAAAGACAGAGTCTTCGGCTAGGCTTTGATATGGCTTCACATTGGACCCATATGTACACATACAGATAATCTACATATGTTGTTGATGTGTAAGTCCCTCCTCTTAAAAGAAGACTATAGAGGTGGTGGCGCGGAAATAGCAGGAGGAAAATGCTTAATTTTAAAAGCTGAACTCTACCCTGAGTCTATGATTCCATAATTCTACCCGCTTCTCTATTAGTATCTCAATCTCAGGCTAAAGAATCAATGCCCCCGCCTCCCCTCCCCGGAACTCACTTCTGCCCCAGCTAGACAAGGACACCAAGGGCCAACTCAGGCGCCAGTCGGGAAAGCGTTCCTTCTGAGCCAAGGCAAGTAAATCCTGTTTGAAAGACGGCGAGCAGCAAAAGGCTGAGATCCCTTAGCACACGGGCTTGCATGAAAGGAAGCCCTGATGCCCATCAATGGGATTTGCTTTCCAAGTCACTCTATCTAAAGTTGCCATCCTAAACACATGTTCTGGGGAACTAAAGCCCCGGTGTCGAGACAATGGCGGTTACTTCTGAGTAACGCAGTGGTTTGTAGTCGGGGTGCAGGGATCACCGCGTGAACAAATAATATATAATATAAATTCTTATTATTAGTATTATGGCGGTCCTAGCGTTTTCTATATATATTGAGAGAGGAGGGGGTAGCATGGGATCAGAGGGATCTTTCACCATGCTTTCACTTCTGAGCACCTGATTCTCAGGGAGCTGGGAATCAGGTTTGCCAAGGGATCCCTCGTCTAGACCGAAGCCAGCTGAACAGCCGGGTCTGCTGGACAAAGGCGAACTCAAAGCAGCAAGAAACTCGGTCTCGCCTCGTTGCCAGACTTTCCCGGGAGTGGGGCGGGGGAGGGCTCTCAGGATTGCAGCCGGGCAACTCTGTCTCCTCAGCAAGGAAGCCCTACGGATTTCAGGAGGACTGGCCTCCGACTAGGAAGCCGCACTTTGAGAACCGCGGAGGGCTTCACAAGGATCCTTCTGGCTGAGTGAAAAGAGACTGCCCAAGAAATTGCTGCCGCTGCTGCTTCTGCGTTCGCCTACAACCGCGCGGAAACTTCTCTTGCCATTTCCTTGCCAAGGGACCTTACGCAGGAGAATTTCCAGGTGGATCCTCTCCCCCCTTACCCCTTCACCCGGGCTTAGGGTTGCCCAACCTTTGCCCCCTCTGCAAAGATCAAATGCAGCAAAAAGGACACAGTAGCATAGCGCCGTCTAAGTCAGACTCCCCCCCACAAAAAAAAACTGTTCAAGAAAGGAGCCCCTCCCCTTTGCTCCCCCCTCTTTAAAAAGAAATAAAGGTTTCCTTATAATGTCAGCAGTGGCCAATTGTGCCCCCCCCGCACGTGTGTGTGTGTGTGTGTGTGTGTAATCAGCTCTCAGATTTTCATGCTAGGTAAGAAGCCGTTCCATTATCTAAATGTACCGATTGTTCGCCCACAGATGAGGGGCAATTTGATCTCCTCTGTCCAATTCATCAAGGCAGATAAGATAAGGAAAGAGAGTCAGTCCGAGCGCGCCCAAAGGGTTAATATTTTAAAAGATTAAATGTCATGTTTAGGGTTTGTTTTTGTTTTTGTAAAGCCCCCCAGTCGAAGAAACCGCCCTGCATTCAGGAAACAGAAGGGGACTATTAATTATTATTACCACTAATAATCATCATCACATTTGTTTACCATGCTTTAAGGAGCCATGGGCTGGCGTGAGAGGAGGAGGAGGAATGGCCTGTTTTAACTGAGCCCGTGTTGCTATTTTCCTGTTGTAACATAGTTTTTTTTAATATATATATGTAAATTTAAATCTATATGTAAATCGTACACGCAGTCATGCAGCTGGGAAGCAAGCAGGCCTGAACGCCACCACTTAATTTCAATTATACTGATATTAGTTAGAGTTGAATGGAGGAAGCGTTGGGGGCGCTTAGTTTAGAGAAAGGCAGTTTGAGCCATCGTAAATGGCAACATATTGTCGCTGCCGCTCCCTTCCCCCGCAAAAAATAAAATAAAAAAATTACACACATTGCCACATTTCCAACAATCAAGAAAGTACTGGCACCTAGATCTCACACGCATCTTCTCAGAAGTAACTACCACTAATTTCAACAGCCCTTACCGCCGAGGGGCACCCAGCTTCTAAGATCTTTACCTGGAGGTCAGATCGGCGGATTACTGAGAAATCTTGCAAGTAATTCGCCAGTATGGATCTGAAAAGTCCCACGACCCTGTATACCTTTCCTTAAAAGCAAGTCTATCTGATGAGGAAACCCGTTTTTCAAATTACTTTAGATTTGCACCCTCGCAGACTATTTATTTTACACATTTGCTCACAAGTGTCAGCCCAAATTTACTTAGGAAAAAGAGAGAGAGTTGAAATTGTATTTTTTTTTTCTGGAGGGGGAGAAGAATTTACCTCTCAACTGTATGTACTCAGTGATAAGACGCAATTCTCTCTTTTCCCCCCAGTGAGCTTGCACTACAATCCTAGTTAATTTCCCACTGAACTCAGTAGGGCTTGACACTCGATAGGAACGGAACTAGGCGCTTGTACACACGCCTAAATAATCTAACCCCTGGACGCATTTTCTTGGCACCAATAGGAAAAAACACACACTTACCTCCAGGTAAGCGTGTTTAGGAGATCGCAGTTTCATTTCTTTTAAACGGGGAAGAGGAATTTAAAGAATTGGGGGTTTTGTTTTGTTTTTGTTTTTACTCTCCCAAACCTTATACAGATAGAAAATAAACAAGGCTCAACTGGAACCGTCTCTAACTGCGACGCGACCGAAGGGGCGGAGGAGAGGAAAAGGCAAGCTCCGTACCTGATATAGTCTCTCTTACAGTAGGTTTTCCCATCCCTAACAAAGCACGTACAAGTCTCGTCCAAATATTGGTTGCATTCTGCGCACTTCAAGCAGGCCGCGTGCCATTCCAAATCCGGGGAAACTCGGAGAATATACTGATCGTGGATTTGATTGCCGCAACCGACGCATAGGGAAATCAGCCGTTTTTCTGAAAGGCAAATAATAAAAGACATGATTGACTGACCGTTTGCTCTCCTACGGCGATAAACACACTTTATTAGTGTCGATCACCCGCGTAGGGCTGCTACTCTTTGGGAGCGCGTTGCTGCTGCTGTTGTTGTGGCGTTATATGGAGGGGGGGGGAGGAAGAGAATGATCGCAGAGAGTGTGAGAAAGATAGAGAGTGTGTAGCATTTTTGGATGGTAATTGGAGTGTGTGCCATCAAAGGCTTCCCTCATTTAGAGAGGAGGCGGAACGCACATTCAAATGAAGGCTGGCAGAATTCTAGAACGCGCACATTTTACGCACCTTCCAACGCAATCAAAACATCCCCTTTTGACAATTTGTTCTTTTGGAGGGTGGTGGTGGTGGAATGAAGGCATATGTGTGGTGTTATTAATTTTGTACCGCCAGATTCTGAATAGGAGAAAAAGAGGGAAGCTGGTGGACTGGGAAACAGAACACGCCGGTGACGCTTTCTCTCTCTCTCTGCTCTTAGGAGTTTGATGCAACCGGCAGGCTTTGGTTTGTCAATTCCATTCCTTTTGTCAATTTCAACCCCTCTTTCGCTAAAAGGTTGGTTCACTTCTGTAGGGCGGGGGTCCTAAAGGCCGACCTGGAGCGCTGGATGCTTACCTCCATCGGAAGCATTATTTGCTTGGGAGGGAACCCCGCCGAGCTAAGAAACCCATTCCTTTCCAAAGCAGCGCGCTTATTTAAAGGGTAGCAACCCACACTTCCCACGCTTTAAATCATCTGCTACGGGAGTATGAATGGATCCAGTTGCACTCCTGGCCCCCAGCCCCGCCCCCCCCCCCAACACTGCGATTCCTCAATACATTTAAAGGAAATCCAATCCTATTGTTTGGGTGTTTGTTTTTTATTTTAAGGGAAACCGACTTCCAGCAAATGTCTCCAGGATTTTAGCACCGGAGCGGTCGCGCTGAACTGGAGTCATCTACCGCTGCCTCTGACGCCCAACCCCCGTCCATGGCAGCTACCCCCCCATCCTCCTTTTCCACACTCTCGCCTCTTCCTTCACGACTTTTAAGCCAGAGGCTCTTCTCCCAAGCCACCGAGATTGCTACGGAGGCTCCGACACCCCACCAGGGGAAGCGACAGCCCGCTAGAGGCTGCGTCCTTCACCGCTCCCGCCTGCCACCGTGGGAAGAAAGAGCTCGTCCTCCCGCTTGCCATATGACCACTGCTCAAGAATAACGAATAACATCTTCCTTACTTTTCGGTGGGTCTCCCATATCTCCCATATCTGTAAGAGGGTATAATGTCCACAGTGAAATGGTGCACGGTTGCGATGGAGCTTCCCAGAGGTAAAAAACAAAACAGAAACACACAGGAAAAAAACAAAACAAAAAGGAGACAAGCTGTGCCTTCTTGGAAAGCGGGAGATGCTGTCAAATGGAAAGGAAGAGAGAGGCTGCTTGATCAGTCGCTCTGAGGATCAGTCCAAGGAGCTGGGATCAAATTGGTTCCTTTATTACTAGGGTGATGTTGATGAGGAGCCTTTTAAAAGAAAAAAAGTCGGGGTCGGGGAGCGAGAGACAGAGAGAGAAGGGAAGAGAGAGAGAGCGAGAGAGCAGAAAACGCTCCGCGCACCCGCACAGGCCAACTCCGGATCGGGAAGCGAGTGGCAGAGGCGCTGCAGTGTGCGGGACTCAGCGCGCAGCGGCCGCCAGCCTCTTCCTTATCTCTTACTCAAACTTCTCTGCTCCAACTCAGCTCCATCGCCATTGGTCGACGTAGGCCTCGGGGACGTCAAACCAGCTCGCCTCTGATTGGACGCAGGGAACACAGAAGCAGCTGTTCTGATTATCATATTTCAGTGGCTGCTGTAGCCTTTGCTGGGAGGAGAGGGAGGGGGGTGCTTGGAGAAAACCCGGGCAGAGCCAGATTTTTTTTAATTTTTATTTTTTAAAAAAAGCTGGACTTGGAGAGAGAATCAGAGGCAACTTTTACACTCCTCATTTGATTTCCTCCCCCCCCTCCTTATAACTCTCCCTTTGCATTTTCGGTTCCACACTCCGCCCCTTCTTTTGGTACCCTAAGGCAGGCAGCTGTCTTTCAGCGCTCTCTGGTTTTAGTGATTTTTAACCTCCCTTTTTTAAAAGAAAGAAAGAGGAAGAACTGAAACGTTGATTTCTCTTAACTATCCCCCCCCCGCCCCCACGGAAAAAGGAAATTGATCAGGCGTGCGGTCAAATATTGGGGGAGTGGGGGGGGAGGAGGGATGGATTAAAATCCATGCAAATCTGTGTTATGCCGCCAAAAGGGGGGCAATAAAGGCTTAGCTGCTGATAGATTTCGCAAGCTGTACTTTTTTTTTTAAATTATTCTCTCAGACGGGGAATCGAAGCGCCAGAGAGGCTTCTGTTGATGGAGGCGTTGACCTCGGGTAAGAGCTGTCTATAAAGGCTTCTACATTCCCTCCCCCCCACTCGAAAAGAATTGTTTGTGTCCCCTCTTCTCCCGCTCCACCCCCCGACAAATTCGTGACATATATTCTCGGAGAACTACTGACTGCAAAGCGCTTGCAGGAGTTTAGCAATAGAGGGCCACTGCGATCTTAGAGCTTCGGTACTCCGCTCAGTTACCTGGGAGTAAGCCACACTGAATTCAAGGGGATGTAGTTCTCACCAGACGGATAGGAGGACGCTGCAAGCGCTTTACTCTGAAGTTACGGCTCAGTGGAGTTTCTATGTAAGCCGTAGTAGCAAAGGAGTTTTGAAATTGCTAGTGCTCCTCTGTGGTATATGGAAAATAAATCTGATAGCTGCTTCTTTATGATGCTGCCATGACTTTCTTGGAGAAAGAGTTGGGGGTGTGTGGAATCTAATCACCACGATCACTCTGCTGTGAAATCGCTAGAGAAAGAGTAACGAAAATGTAATCACTACCACCGCACCACTCGTAGTAGTAATAACATTTCCTCTAACTGCTACCACTAGAAACTGAAAAGCACTTTCAAGCTGCCAGTTCCCGTGAAAGTTTCTGCTAGTTTTTTTTCATACTGGACAGACGGAAAGCCATTGCAAGGCCTCTGGGTGCCTACAAAACTAGGGGGAGCCCGGAATCCTTCACTTTACCCTCAGTTTTTGCGCTAACGTGGCTGTCGCCTCCTCCTCAGGGCATTCACTTGGGAGTAAACCCCACTGATGGAAAAGACGCCTGTCATGATTTCTTCGGAGTTCAAGCAACAGGAAAGCGAAGATAACGCGAGTTGCGGATCAGGCGATAGGCAGATAGTAAGGAAGAGAAATAGAGCATTCGTCTGATTCTTGATTGCTCCAAAGTTAGCTTGGCTTCCTCAGAGTCAAAGCAAAGCCTGTTTGAAACCCCCATGTAAAAACGGCCCCTCTTCCAAAATATAAAAGGACCACGCATCTATTGACCTCAACGGGGCAACATCTTCCTGTTTAGCAGTTCACTGGTGTGCAGTTTAGCAGTTTAGCAGTTCACTGGCGGTATTATGGCACGGCAGAATCACCTAGTCCGTGTTTGCAGTTTCAAGCTTCCTTCAGCTCCCAGGCACAAGGGTTGTGGGCTGCTACGCCAGCTCACTCTGCTCCCCCTCCCCTCGCCCATTCACTTCAGCAGAGATTATTGTTGGGGAGGGGGGGGAGTGGAGAGGAGGGCTGCGCCTTTAGATGGGAAGCGGCATTTCCTTCCTCAAACGATGTGCCAGGATCCCAGCCTGATTGACGGGAGGCGGGACGCTTCTATTTCACTCCTAACATTTGGAAATAAAAAGATCCGAAGTGTATTTAGAAGATACCCCCCCGCCGCCCATTCAAAGCCCTTCAGCGGAGTCACCATGAGCACGGTAAATAATAAGCCTTAATGACTTTGGAATTCAACGGTTGGTTACCGACGCCCCTGAATTAAGGGGAAAATACACACAGATTTCTAAACACACTAGAAAACAAACAAAAACAAACCGGGGGCGTCGAGGGACGAAACAGAAAGTTATTGTTGTTATGAAGAAGTAGTATTTGGGATGCGCAAGGAGCAGGGGCAAATATACACTTTCCAGTTTACAGCAAGTAAATAAATACATCGCTTTTTTTTAACGTTCCGGGGGAGATAACTCAGTTGGATGTCTCGAAAAAGATCTCCTGATAAGATCAGAAGGCAGTCTTGGGTTTGTAAACAGACAGGACTGATATACTTCACGTTTCAGTGGAGCAGATGGATGGAGCGAATCATTTGAAATTTGGTGGAATCCAAGAGAGAGAGAGAGAGAGAGAGAGAGAGAGAGAGAGAGAAGCAACCCTCCTCTCCATCTACAGTGTTTAGCTCTGTACACCAATAAGCAATTACCAGGAATAATTGCTCTGGAGAGCGATGCCAAATCGAGCAGGCTGGCATACCACCGGGAAGGAGGGCTTCTCTCTCCCAGTAGATAATTTGACTAGAAGAAGAGATCCCACCCAAAGACCTGTCTCGGTCAGAGCACGCGGAGGGGAAGAGAGCCTCGGTTTCTCGTCGCCCCTGACCAGCAGAATGCAGAAGGCGAAATTCCGTAAGCACAGATCCGGGAAACTCCTCCGGGTCGGTGGAAGCTGGCTAGAGATTCCCAGACTTGCAGGAAAATGGAATAAATGCTCCCACCCCATTTACAATATATAACTGGGGCAAGGCGTAGGTATAAATTTTGCATGGTTTCCTAAAAGAAATCTTAATCTGGACACAAATTTCCGTGTTGTGACTTAACAAATTTTCGTCCTTTAATAATTAATACTGGTTTCCAGACATGACCGACTCTTCTTTCATTCCATTCTTAATTAATAAATAATAATAATAATAATAATAATAATAATAATCAGTATCTATATCTACATACACCTCACACATTGGTTCTACATGGGTGTTTTTTTAAGGTTCCAGTCCGCATGCCCTTTAATCAGTTGCAGAACACCCCCTGGTATAAATGGCTCTGGATTGCTCCTTTCCTATCCTCCTTTCCTACCCCTATTCCTATTCTAGACATTTGCAGTGTGTGTAGGCACACCAGCAATATGCATCCCCTCGGAGCGCATTCGATGCTGATGAAGCGAGCGGAGAGACGGCGGGGTTGCTCGTCGCTCCGACGCGATCGCAACAGCGACCCCTCGTGCCCGAATGCGGAACGCCCCGCCCGGTGTCATGTCAGAGCACCCCAGCCTAATCCTGGTGGCCTTTTACTTCCCGTTTCTCCAAACATAATTAAGCGCTCTAGACTAATGAGGTTCCCTCGTGGGCCACATGAATGGAAGGCTTTTATGTGCAGCAAAGAAAGGGGGAAACTCGTATAACTTTTATAAGACGCCCGATCATAATATAAAAATCGACGGGGGTTAAAAGATTTGAATAGATGGGCTATTTCTCTGCAAATCCCTTGTGATCCCCCCCTTTTCTTGCCCCGAAATGTCTGCATTCTTTCTGGCTTAACCAACCTCGATGGGAATTATACGGCCAGGAGACTATTGCTGACTTTTCCAGCCTATCCCCGTTGTTAGAAAATTACCCTGTCTGCTTTAATTTTCCTCTCTGCCCCCCTCCCTCCTTTTTTATTTTTATTTCTGTATGTTTAAATACTGGAGAGGGTGGGTGGCTGCTTCTTCAGTGATGTGCAAGGACCTGTCTCCGCCCCACCAAACTGGGGCGAGGAAGGAAAAAAGGAGGTCTTTCTTTTTTTTGGCATCTAAGACAGGGATTTTCCCTCAAACCTCCCTTTTCCTCTGCTACCGATCTGTCTGTTTGCCAAAAGGCGCAGCGGAAAGGAGGTTTCTATTTATTTATTTATTTTTTTAAAAAGGGAACGGAACGGAAAACACAGCCGCTGTCAATGTTAAGGTAAAAGAGGTGGGGGGGGGGGGAAGAGAATTACATTTAGAGCAAATGAAAAGATTTCTTGTTTATGACAGAGAAGGCTCTGGAGAAAATTGAGCGACGCGCAACGCGGAGACTCGGCTGGAAACCCATCTGCCTTTCTTCCTGGATGGCGGAGGGGAGACTCGGAGGGAGGGAACAGCCAGAAGTCCTTTACTTAGAAGTAGTCCCACCGAAGCCCGATAAGCCTCTCCAGAGTAAAGGGAAGAGTGCAGCTTTACACCTATATGGGCGAAGTGGGGGGGGGGCAACCGACCAATATAGATTCTCCGGCTCTCTCTTTAAAGCGTGCTCTGTGTATGTGTGCGGTGGGAGTATGTGTGTGCTAGTGTGTGTGCGCGCGCGCCTGGTGTGAGTCTCCGCATTGGGGAGGGGGGGGGGGAAGAAGCCAGGTTAACCCTCTCTCTTCCCCAGACCCTCTCTTTCTCTCCGCGTCGAGAGGTCTGCAACTTGTAGGCGAGTCTCTGATGACGAGGGGAAGGAACGTTGCGCTTGAAAACAGATTTCATTTCTTTTGAAAAGCGAACTATTTCATTCTGAACTCAAGGAAGAGTAAACAGCGCCTCTGGGACAGGAACCAAACCAAGAAAGGGAAACGATTCTCAAAGGGGCTTTGCAGGCAACAATTGTCCAGAGATTTGTTTTGCCTCCTGGGTCATTCTCCATTTCCTCCTCCTCCTTTAAAATATGTTCATTTCAGATGATTAGATTGATATTCGTGGCGGACCAAACGGTGTTGAATCTGAAGCAGGATTGCGTTTAAATCGAAGCTGGCATCCTAAACAATTTACACTGCAATCCTATGCACGACTACGTAACAGTAGGTCCCATTGAATTCAGTAGGACTTACTCCCAGGTAAGGGAGGATTGCAGCCTCACTTGGACTTCCTTTCTGGTAACTGTGTTTCGGCTCGGGGTGAAAAAAATGGTAAAGAAAGGTGTGTGTGTGTGTGTGTGG